AAAAATGTCAAGAATACATGAGAGAAGGCTAAAGCCATATTCCTTGCCCCATTTCCATGAAGAGTACTGGTGTAAATATGGCCCATTTGTCCCTCTGCTCCCATTACCAACCTTCTCCACTTTATTCTGTACACTAGCACAACTTCACTATTCGAACCTCACCAATAGGTTCCTTATCTGCCTCAAAGAGCAACAGGAGAGGGAGGGAGGAACGGAGAGTAATGTAAGACCTCTTTGCAGGGTGGCCTTGCCTGGTTGTGAGCAAAGGAAATGACATTTAAGGTATAATCTTCATATATACTCTTTCTTTCTTTCCAGGTTCTAGTAACAACTCTTTATTCTCTCCCAAAATAACAAGGGATTGTTATGACACACTGCTACCCAACACTATGGCTTCCTTATATTCTGCTTACATTTTTGTAAATCCTATTATTAAACTGTCTTTCACCAACCTATTTCAGAGAGTTATATGTACCCTGCTGGGACCTTGACGAATGCAAGTAAGAAGTACTAGGAGTGAGGAAAGGGGGGGGGGGGAATCACTAGAGACTCCAGCCCAAGTATATGAAGAAGCAGAGACTTGAACTAGACAAGATGAAATGAGGCTATGAAATGGAGAACAAGTGAATAAAACCTTGCAGAAGTGAGCAACGGGACTTGATAACAACCGACTCTAACTTTTCTTCTTTTGTAACCTCGGTGATGGACAAAGTTCATCTGGTTGCCTGGCATAAAAATTAACCAGCCTTGACTCCAAACTGCTACCTGTAAAGAGCCTTTGATCCATCTCAGAGATGAGAATGCTGGTGGAAGCAGAGGACATTTGCCAACCCCCTGTGGTTCCCTGCCCAGCTGGGATATCAGCTGTTATTCTTGTCATCTCTTTGTTTAGTCAAGCATTTCTCTCATTTTCACTTTCCTTTAGAAGTCCCATTTCCTAATCATGTCTCTCATAATATCCAAGATGTACAGGAAAATACTATAGCTCATCCACTGGCTTTCTTGACAGCACTAGCCACATCTCAGCCACTTCTTGGACCCTAACACCCTGTTCAACTAGATCTGTCAATGATGAAGAAGTATGAACCAGGTAGGCTCACAACCTCAATGTTAGCCACATAACCTGGAAGTGGTTTGAATTATGGGATTTTTGCAAACAAGGTAGTATGCTAGACAACTTTCTATTGGGATAAGGGCTTAGGTGATTTTCAAGAGAAATCACCTCTCATGTGAGATTTTTCTGCTATTGGAGATTTTCTGTAACTCCCTTGGACCCAGTTAGCAAGATCCTGCAAGTGCCTCAAGCACTATTGCAGTTCACTTAGAAGAGTGGTTCAGACCTTTCCCCAGGTACACTCCAACCTCTTCTTGATCAAGTAGATTGCAGTGAAAGGTCTTAGATTCTCTTTGTTTATAGAACAAAGGTTGGAGAAAAAATGTATGTCAAACAAAATGTTATTTATTATACCATTACTCTTGCTACTGGTGCTAGTTAAAAAATATAGAGTATGTTTACCTATCCAGAAAATGGACAGAATTAGACTAAAATTCCAAGAACAGGGATGGGGGCATGACTAAGTGGTAGAGCTCTTGCTTCACAAGCATGAGGGCCTGGGTTCAAAACCCCAATACCACCAAAAAATAGTCCTAGTAATTGATAATAGATATGATTGTGCAGAAAAGGCATGACTCCATAACAGAATAATTAACAATCCAAACAAACAAATATGGTGGGGACAATTAAAGGCAAGGATATAGAACTAACATTGTTTAAAATGAAAAATGTGGGTGGGGCTTAAGAGGAAAAGGGCAGACAAATGGAGAGAGGAATAGTGGGTATAAACAGTCACAATACCCAATATATATCTGCGTGAAAATGAAACTAGGTAACTTGAAAAGATGGGTGGTATTAGAATAGACAGAGAATAATGGAAGGGGTCACACTGGACAAGATGCATTGTGCTCATAAATGGACATGAATTGAATCATATTTGTATAACTAGAGATGATAAAAATTAATTCAATAAAAGAACAAAATAAAATAAAGCACGAAAATATCATGAGGTCTAAACAGAACATTTCAACAACACTTCCTTATTAAGTAATTCTAATTTGTACAATTCATTCCATCTCAGACTCAGATGTCTCTATGGTCTTCAAAAGAGCAGCAACAGTAAAAAAAGAAAGAAGAAAGAGAAAGGGAGGAAATGAGGAAGGCGGGGAAGAAAGGGAGGGAAGGAGGGGGAAGGGAGGAAAGGAGGGAAGGAAGAAGAGGAAAGAAATGAAAGAGAAAGGAAGGAAGGGAAAAAAAGAAAAAGTCAAATAGAACTTAAATTAGAAAGAAAAGAAAATCAGAGAATGTTCCTTTTTCTGGGAAAAGAAAAGGAAAAAAGAGGGCAAAAATTCACAATACAAAAGCAAGAGCTTAAGGGCTGGGAAGGTGGCTCAGTGGTAGAGCGCTTGCCTTGCATGCCTGAGGCCCTGGGTTCGATTCCTCAGCACCACATAAGCAAAAAGGAAAAAGCCGGAAGTGGTGCTGTGGCTTAAGTGGTAGAGCGCTAGCCT